TGCATCTCATATTCTATGCCCCTGTTGGGGCGGCACATTGGGGTATCTACTTTTCAAAAAGGAGGATTTTCATAATGTCCTGACATTTTTATTTGCTATTATTTACAAATGAAAGTAAGAGAAACAGGCTTTTAAAAAAATTTTTTTGTCTTTCTTACTTTATATTGTAAAAAATTAAAAAGCGGCTATTAAATAGCACTAAAAGAAAGCTCTATGTGTCCTCCCAAAAATGATATAAAAATTAATTTTGTTACAGTGTTGAATGACGGAGGAATTCTCAGCTAAACTTTCACAGCGCTGAAAAATGGCCTGGTAATGAAAGGAGTGTAACATGCCGGTACCGAAGTGGTTAAAGTGGAACTTTGGGCAAAATCAAAAATTACATAGATGCTGCAGTCTATCAGTGCATGAATACAGCATACTTTGTTTTTCAGACTCCATTAGTTTTTAATGTTCCCCCATGTAATCAAGCATCAATCACAATGTTTATCAATGTGATCTGCTTCAATCATGGTGTCAAACCCTCATCAATCATAATGACCCAACGCCCGCTGATTTCTACCCAGTAACCCTGTACAGGCAGTCCCCGAGTTACGTACATCCGACTTACATCCGACTCTTACTTACAAATGGAGGCTATTACTGTACAGCAGGTAGTTGTAATGCTACCGTGCTCATGTTAGGGCCACGGAAGCAAAATAGGAGAAGTGGCCCCATGGGATTGTCGCCCCTATCACCCATGTATTTAAATAATAAAATAAAAAAACTAATTATATGTGAATAGAGGTGTGGAGTGACTGTCATGTACATGTCTCTCTGGGACTGCTTTGCTGGTTCTTTCTGCTTTGTCTTTCAGGTTACAAGCTCCCTGCTGTTGCTAGGAAGATTTACCTCAGTTGCTGGACAGACCTTCAGTCAGCTGAGCACAGGATTGGTGACAGACTTTTGGCGGGAAAACAGCTGACCAATGAGTGTTACCTTTCCCCCTTTATAGTCACTCCTGTCACTTGACAATTCAAAACCTTTGGTGTGCTGGTGACAATCCTTTCTAGATCTGCATTGTTCACGGGGCCATCCGTGGTCACTACAAGCACCCACCTGCTTGGCAGGTTTACTACTATTCCGGTAAAGAGTGCAGCTGGTTCTTGACTACATGTATTACTTTCCACTGACGTTTTATCACCAATCTTTGTTTCCACGACAACCCAAAATGTTCAAATCCAATTGTCACAGGGACAGAAAGTGAGGTGAAATCTTCTGAACAGGGGCACACACAGCAAAACAAACTTTACAGGGTGTGAACCCTTCCCTATGCTATCCAAAACAACAACAAAAACAAAAAAAAATTTGGCTGGAGTTACACTGAAAAGATTTTTCCTTTTCCAACATACATACAAATTCAACCTAAGAACAAACCCACAGTCCATATAGTAACTCGGGGACTGTCTGTACTCATTCCGCTGGCAGATATCTGGATACCTCCTTAGAAAGGGGGCTTCTACCGCAAATCCGCCACATATATTATCAGCGCCACTTCCTTCTTAGGGCATAGGAGGTGGAAAAGGTGGAGCTCTTGTCCTTCAACATTGCAAAAAAAGTGCTTTGAAAGAAGGGGGAGACTTTACCGCACCACCTTGCAAAGAACCCCCTAAATGTTGAAAGGATGTCTGGTACAGGACAGGGGGGTGCCCCCTCGCTGCCCTCCCTTTTCTGGCCACCCAGACTGTATGCCCTTGGATAAGGGTCTTGGTGGAATTTTAAGGGGAACCTCATACAATTTTTTCCCTTTTTTAAGGTGTTTAAAAGTAAGCTCCAAAGAACACAAAAAGTATGCAATGCCAAAAACCCAATGAATGGATTGTATTTGTGGTTACACTGTTTGCAATAAAAAAAATCTATATATTTTTGGCCCTGTAGAAATGCTGCCCAGTTCAGATAAGGTGGACTTTGGACAACATACTAGCCTCTGTAAACAATGTACGTTGAACCAACAGGGAATCCTTTCCTTAATGGCTTTTGATTAATGGATGTTTCTCTCAAGCTGCTGGGATAGATTTGCTTTATTCATTACATACACAAAGCACCCACAGAACCAATAAAACCATCACCTATGTGAATAATATTAATCACTTTTATTTATAGCTCAGTTCATGAACTTGGTTGTAGTATGATAAAATACATTGTTTGTTACCCACTACTTACCTTAAAGAAAAACTTGCACCAATAATCAATATGTAAGGTTGCCAAATATTTACTAATGGGTTTTTCCCCCAGATTCACACAACATTCACCCATTTTTCTAATTAGTTATGTTAAAATGGTTGAAAGTTGAGTGAATCTTGAGCGAAAGAAATGTATAAATATACCCCTTTTAAAGTCACACTCACTTAAAATCAAGTCAAGCATATCATAGCCAGTATTTTTCACCAAGATGGCCACCGGCAGACGTCCAAAAAACGACCGTCCATGCGTGATGACGCCACGCCGGGGTGTCACCCGGTCTCCGCTTCGGGTGACACCCAGCCTCGGGACGCCCCTGAATACACATTATCTACATGCTAATCACACATTCTTGTAGGCAAACGGCCACTAGAAGAAGCATTTTACATTCAAAGGAGGTTTTATTGTGCTGGGGCTAATATCACTTCCAGGGTCAAACCTTTTCCATTTTGGTGCTTTACTGTGCAAATGTTAATGTGCAGAATTGTGAGTGTTAATATGCATTGTGTTAAAGTGTATATCAAGGCAAAAAAAAAATGCAGTACATCAGTGCAATGCATGCAATCCATGTTTTCTTTGTGCAAGTACAGAAAAAACTGATGGTCCACCAGAAACGCAGTCAGACCCTAAGTCCGGTTGTGGACTGACAACACACAGCGTTTTTGAGGATTGAGTGGTGTCAGCCCTGCTCACTGTTCTTTGCTAAAGTATTCAACCGCTCCCACTCTCAGATCTCTACAACAGAAAGGCTAATTATTTTATAGTCAAAGATAAGAACCAGGCAGGCTCTATAAGATAGCACAGGAAGTGTGGGGAGGACACAGGAAAGCTCAGAATTTCTGACAAGAGCAACATTTTTTTTATTTTTTTTTTGCCACTTTTCAAACAAATATAACAAAATGCTTCCAATGGTGTATTCACCAGACCAAAAGGGAGCAAATAAGAAAAATTGATTGCTAAGGTTTACATATATTTTAAGGAAGTCTAGTAATTTGGAATGGGCGGCCAACACGGCCAACTTCCGGTATCAGGAAGCCGCCCAGCGAGTCATTACACGGCGCCCGGCTTTCTGATTGGCCAGGAATCCGCCTCCTTGATCCCTCACCACTTGTGACAAAGGAGCATGGAGCCGGCATGCATGCCGGCTCCTGCTCCTTTGTCACAAGCCGTGTAATGACTCGCTGGGCGGCTACCTGATACCGGCTCCATGCTCCTTTGTCACAAGTGGTGAGGGATCAAGGAGCGGGCTTCCTGGCTAATCAGGAAGCCAGGTGGCGAGTCATTACACGCCACCTGGCTTCCTTAATGGGACTTCCGGTATCGCTAGTTGGTATCGGCGAGTACCGGAAAAAAAATATTGGTACTTGTGCTTGATACTGAAAAACCGGTATCGGTGCATCACTAGTAAAAAGCACTTTTTGTAACGCACATACAGCAACCTAAATCAGGGACAGATGAAAGTTACGTAAAGTGTCTTTTCTGTAATTCTCCTATAACCAATAATATATATAATATCTATGTCCCTTTATTTGCAGTTTACCACACAAATGAGCAAAATCAATCATTATACAATTTCTTATTATGGTTATCACAGCCTTATGCGATCCCGGCTGTTCTGTCATATAAGTAGATTACCCTCGATGAGCAGAGAATATCATTAGATGTTGGAATGTGTGTGGCTTGCTTCGTGCTGTTTGAATTATACTAAGAAAGAAGCCTTGGGCTATAAAAATATAGCAGTAACAGTATCACTAACCTTTCCTTACAAATCACCAGCTGCTTGTTATTTCAAAATACACCCACATCTAGTTAGTTGAGGTTGATGGCAGTTTTATCTCATGTGATAGCGTTTTATTTCCAAGTTACTGAAAATAAAATGATAACAGCGTGACATTCAGGAGAGTCACCTTCCCGGTAGTATCTAAGGCAACCGAGGACGGTAACTGACTGGATACGGTCCTAAAAGGTTATTCTGCATAGGAGAACATTATACTATGGGGGTTTATTGATAAACAATTTGCAGAGTCGTTCACACTGTGGGAATGTTTGCCCTGTGGGAATATATGCTAGAACACATGTTCTTTATTTCTCCTTTGCAAGTGGAATTAATTTTCGAATGTTATTGTGTTATGTTGCACCATGGCCCCTAGATGGGGCTAAAGGAGATGAGGAAATAAGCATTTGTTCCCTGTACTCCTCAGCACCGTCTAGGGGTCAAGGGGGAAAGGAGTCTCTTTGGCAAGCTTTGATGGCTTATCTGTAAGAGGGTGGCCATCAATAGTCGGTGAGTCCGCATATGTGTTTTCAAGCACAGTGGGATTTTGGAAGCATGATTTTTTTTTTTCACGATTACTGAAAATACACGGAGGTGTATTATATACACATTTAGGGCTTGTTCACACCATAAACAGTGCGTTCTAGAGCGGTCAGCTGTTGGAACGCACTGTATCGCATCCTGGGTGGCTTCCTGCGTTCAGGGGCGGGAGGGGGCGTGGCGGGTGCATTGAAGTCAATGGCACCACAGCCACTCCCTTTCGCAGGGAAAGGTTTAATCTGCTTGATAGAGCAGATTAAACCTTTCCGGGAGAAAATGTTTCTCTCCCGGGCGGCCGGGAGCCGCTATCTAATAGCGGGAGACTCCCGGAGCGTCCGGGAGAGTTGAGATGTCTGCATCAGTGCCTGCGTTCCGGTCCAGTGCAATCTGAAAAAAATGCTGTGAGCACTATTTTTTCACATTGCACTGGACAAGAATGCAGACACTGATCTGCCACGCGTTCTGGTGCGGGTGATCGCACTGCGGGCAGAGGGAGTGCCTGTGGTGCCATTGACTTCAATGCCACGCCACCTCCAGCCCTTGAACGCAGGAAGCCAGTCGGGATGAAATACAGTGCGTTGCAGCAGCTGACCTCTCCGGAGCGCACTGTTTATGGTGTGAACAAGCCCTAAAGGCCGGTGCACACCTAGGCGACACCTCACCGCGCGGCAATCATACAAGTACCTTTTTTCTGCGATACACGACGTGTGGCTGTTTTAGTTCGGAAGCACGGGCAGAATCGCGGCGGGAAACCGGGGTGCAATTGGAAAATAATGGCACACACAGAGCGATCGGTGCACGCCTAGGCGACTCCTGACCGTGCGGCAATCCGCAAGGAACCGCGCATGATGGCCGCGCGGTGGGGTGTCGCCTAGGTGTGCACCGGCCCTTAAAGAGGACTATACAGTATACTAAAGGAATTGAATCAGCAAAGGTTACATTACTTGTTATGAATTCACTATTATAGTGATTGTTATAATTGTGATTAATTATTTATAAGATTATAGCATGTTATTAATGGTTTTAGGTTAGAACAAGCACAGTGCAGTTTATTCATATGGAATTCATTTTTTATGCTCTTTTTCTCCAGTTTTAGGGCCCAAGCACACAAGTGGCTAACAGCGAAGAAACCAGCCCCATGGACACAATGTGCGCAAACAGCATGACGGCCAGATTTGTGCCCTGTAACCCTGGGCCTCTGCGTCTTGGGATGGCATTTCTTGTCACTAGTAATGAGCCTGGGCTGGGCCGCCACTAGGGTTGCCACCCGTCCAGTTTTGACCTGGACAGTTCGGTTTTGGAGTCCGGTGTCCGGAAGTCCAGCCAGAGGACACCCGGACACAAGACACTCGGTGTCGACACTGGCACTTTAAATTTTCTGACAGATGTGGCTGCCGAGATCCTCGGCAAGCGACATCTTGGGCAGCCGCCATCTGCATGAAACCCGGATCTTCCTCTGAGCTGCGGGCAGCCTGTGCCTGTTTACAAATTCCTGCAGCTCAATGGAATATCCAGGTTTTAGGCAGATGGCGGCTGCCTGAGATTGCCCTTGCCGGGGACCTCGGCCGCACATCTGTCATTGCTCCTCCTCCTTCTTCTCCTCCGACTCCCTGACACCGTGCTGCCCGCCTGAGGACCCCCGGTGAGACACCATAGCCCAGACAGCCCAGAGAGTCGCACAGCCCACCTGAGAGCCCACACAGCCCACCCAAGAGCCTGCACAGGCCACCAGGGCACCTGGAGACATCAGGGCGCCAACCCAGAACATGTATACAGTATGTATCTTCATATTATTTTATATTGCTGTATAATGTATTGCTGGGATTTGTAGTCCTCTATAGCTGGTCTTCTTACTCCCTCACCTGGCTGCCTCTCCTCGCTCTCACCTCTATATTCACCACAAAAGGTTTCACTTGAAGAAAAGGTGGCAACCCTAGTCGCCACACCTCCTCTCCCAGTCAGTTGCGGCAGGAGCATTCCCTGCACCACAGTGACACGTCACAAAGGGGTCGGGAATGCCCCTACTAGAAATGCCACCACAAACGGGGACAGGCAAGGGGGATAGTGGTCACAGTTTTGAACAGGCTTGGGCTAGCTGGGTTCACACCAAGCCCCCACACTACTGGTCACATACAATCTGGCCACAGCTAACCATCCACTTTGTGTGTGGCCATAGCACAGTGTGCTGTTGCGCCCAGATTCAGCATTTAGCCATTTCTGAACGCAGCAGCCAAAATGGCAGATCTCGGAGGCAGAGAATATGTGTCAGCCCGCGGGTAGACATGTTAGGGACTCAGCCTGTATCTTTTTTGCTTTCACTGTTATAAATAAACGTATCGGTGAGGCTCTAAAACAGGGCTAGGCAACCTAGACCCTTCAGCTGCGGTGGAACTACAAGTCCCATGAGGCATTGCAAGACTCTGACAGCTACAGACATGACTCTCAGAGGCAGAGGCATGATGGTATATGTAGTTTCACCACAGCTGGAGTGCCGAGGTTGCCTACCCCTTCCTCTAGTAAATGTTGCGTAGCGTGCCGGGTGTGGTGAGTGAATGATCCTGTGTTTTCAGGACAAAGGTGAGCTCCCAGGTATTATGAAGCCATTAATCCTTCACATGCCGCTCGCTGCGCCATTCTCTCCTTTCACGTTTAAAAAGAACTCCTCCCAAAATATCATTAAAGGGCCAGTTCACCAAAATGTGACGTGCCCGCAGTTTGACAGTGGTATGATTCAGGGCCATGGAAGGCGGAGTGTCTAATCCTGGGGGCCCTGGTGAGGCAAGCTGCGGCAGCCATTACTTGGAAGTCAGTTGTTCAAAAAGTCATTTGGCAAAATTGCTAATTTGCTGCGCAGATCTCTCCAATCTGCGGCGAATGGCACGATTTATGAATCGCAGTTCTATGGATTTCCAATTGCGTTTTGCAGATTTGCATGAAAAAAAAAGTAAGAGGAAATAAAGCCGTTATTAGTAAATCAGAGATTCCCGGATCCTACCCTCAGCACGTGGGAAGTTTTTGGTTATTTTCACCCCTTATTAACCTTTAGTTTACATTAACTCCTTCATCTCCTTTATGACTTTTAATGTTTGAACTATTGTTACCTTCCTTTGTGTACCAGAAACATCATTCTCGTCCCTTTAGGCTACATTCACACTAGCTGTACTTAGATGTGTTTATATGCGTTTAATATTGTTTTCTAAACGCATGTGCAGTATATGCATCTCATGATTTCCAATGGCTCTATTCACACCTTGCGTTTATTTAGATCCTTTGATCTGCAGGCAGTTTAGCTGCGTTTAGAAAAAATAGACGTCAGGCGCCTTCAAGAATCAGTTTGAACTTATAAACGCACCAAAACGCATGTAAATGCACATAAACGCAAGACACATTTATTTGCATTGGCTACTCCAATGGACTGTTTCAATGGACAAAGGACAGATGCATCTAAACGCATATGTGTCTAAATGTGCGTCATTTTAAGGATCTAGAACACGTATGTAAATTACACGTGCCACGGGCCTGCCACAAGATTTTATTAGGCACGCCAGTCCCAAGCTTTGTAGCGTGGCAAGCCTCTGTCTCAGGTCTTGGCTGCTATGGGAAGTCCCACTGTGTTTATCAGGGACTGACTGTATGTGAGGGCACTACAAGTGTCAGCAGTTCATGTCCATTTATTGGACAGTGACTGCTGGCACTTGTAGTTCCTTCTCACACAGTAGTGTCATATAATGGACAGGAACTGCTGACACTTGGAGTGTCCTCACACACACTCATAACATCATTATATGACCATCCTGGTGTCTTGTGTGTGAGGACACTACAAGTGTCAGCAGTCCCTGTCCAGTATATGACAGTCCTGGTGTCCTGTGTGTGAGGGCACTACAAGTGTCAGCAGTCCCCGTCCAGTATATGAGAGTCCTGGTGTCCTGTGTGTGAGGGCACTACAAGTGTCAGCAGTCCCCGTCCAGTATATGAGAGTCCTGGTGTCCTGTGTGTGAGGGCACTACAAGTGTCAGCAGTCCCTGTCCAGTATATGATAGTCCTGGTGTCCTGTGTGCGAGGGCACTACAAGTGTCAGAAGTCCAGTATATGACAGTCCTGGTGTCCTGTGCGTGAGGGCACTACAAGTGTAAGCAGTCCCTGTCCATTATATGGCAGTCCTGGTGTCTGTGTGTGAGGGCACATTAAATGGATAGGGAATGCTGACACTTGTAGTGCCCTTACACATAGGACACCAGGGTGGTCATATAATGGACTGCTGACGCTTATTGTGCCCTTACGAGCTGCAAGCCTCACGCATTTTGGACTGTGTGCTTTTTTTGCAAAGCACAGGCAAAGACGTGCTTTTGGCTGCTGCCTTTAGAGCGCCATTAACAAGTAATGGCACCGCAAGCACGTCACGTGTTTACCTGCATGGAATGAAGAGGTGTCAGTGTGCATGTCACAGTGTGAATGGGGACAAATTGAAGAATAAAATGTGTGTTTAGTGAGATAATTGAAAGTTGGAAGAAGACATTTTGGTGCGTCTGACCATCTGGATGTTTAAAAATAAAGAAAAAGAACTTGTAATGTCTGACTTCCTATTTTACACTGACGGGTGTCAGGATTTTGCATGTTTTCCAAATAAGCCAATTACTCATAACACTGTCAGGGATGACCACAGCAGGCTGCAGTCACATGATGATGACATATCGCCCACATACGGGGTGGGGATCAGCTCACGGGTTCATATAAACTTCTATTATAGGTCAGCAAAACTGTATAAAGGGAACCTGTACCCGGAGAAAAATGGAGACCACCAATGCAGAACTCCCAAAAATCTGTCCACCTGCGTTCATTCAAACGGGACATACACGTCCTTGCGGCGTGCATGCCTGTAAACGGCCGATCCTGGGAGGAACAGGCGCTGCATGTGATTGCGCGCAGCAGCCTGTTCTTCCCTATGGGAGGATGCAGCTGTATGCTGTGCGGGCGTCTGTTGCATCCTGTCTGTGTCCAAGTGGGTAACACTGGTACCCGCACAGATGTGCAGTTCGGGTGCGCGTATGGCAGCGTACAGACGCGTCCTCCCATAGGGAAGAACAGGCTGCTGCACGCAATCACACACAGCACCTGTCCTTCCCGGGATTGGCCCGTTTACAGGCATGCATGCCACAAGGACGTGTACGCCCCGTGTGAATGAGGCCTTGCAGTTTATTTGTCAGCGCCTCGGAAACAAGCATGCAGTAAGTAAAGTCAGAATGCCTGTTAATATTTAAACTAGACCAGTGATCCAATAAGTTCTGAAGCTGGGGATCAGCATGACAGGTTTGAAACTTATATTTTCATGACAAGGTTGGCAATGGCAGCACATTTATTTTTCTTTGTTAGGTTTTCCTATTTGTTTTAATAAAATTTAAAAACGTGAATATCTATAGTTTCAAATTTTATTAAAACCAAAATTAGAACCCCGGGTATCTCTGTCAGGTGGAATCGAGTTGGGTCTGTCCCTGCAGGGTGCACACCAGGCAGAGATATCCGGGGACACACCGTTGTGGTCACTCAGGAGGTGATCAGGTGACAGGTGTCTGTCCTCCTTTCCTTCTCTCCACACTGTACATGGGGGCGTGGGCGTGTCCGCCCGGATGTGACGTCACCATTCACCTGCCGCTCGCTGGGCAGAGCTGGAGGCAGCCGCGAGGAGGGAAGGCAAGGATTGGGAGGACGCCACACACACCGACCGAGCTCTGCACATATCAACGAAAAGGAGAACCCGAGGATCGGGAGGACTGCACACACAACCAGCCGAGCGTTGTACATACATCCAGGAGGGGAGCAAAGGATCGGGAGGACAGCACACCGAGCTGAGCTTTGTACATACAGCGAGGAGAGTCCGGGATGGCGCGGCGATGCCCCGATCTGCTGTTCCTGTTCATCTCTCTGTCCTGCTGGGGTAAGTGCGACGTACCTGTCACCCGGATCCGGGTCATCGCATCCACTGAACGGGCAGGATGAAGTTGTATCGGTGACTTTGTCCTCTGCGCTATAACTATCCTCCGGCTCCGCGAGTAGATCTTTTTCCTATGTGTGGCCACCACCCACAGCATCTCTGTACACAGCAACTTTATACATTGGTAGAACTTCTCCTGATCGATATATCTATAGATCTGTGCGTGTATGATGGAGCTCTGCATAATGTACAATATCTAGACCGATGATATCGATGTGTGTACCCCCATTGTACAGGTTAGGGATGATTTGTAATGTGTATATGATCCTCACCTATGAAGCTGAGAGTATTGAATCATTCAAAAAGCATTTAGATACCTTCCTCAGAGACCACAACATACAGGGGCACAGGTACTCTTAAAAACAAGGACGGAAAAGGGACTTGTGTACACACACTCACACAATCACACACACATTCACTCACTCACAATCACACACACACACACACACACGTTGGACTTGATGGACCTGTGTCTTTATTCAACCTCAAGTACTATGTAACTATCCCTCCTCCATCCACAACAGAATGTGATGCACTGTAAGCATGTTTACTAAAATTATATAAACAGATACAGTGGTACCTCTGTTCACGAACGCTTCTGTTCGCGATCAATTTGGTTCGCGAGCAGGAAGTTTGGCAAAATTTTGCTTCCGTTCGTGAACTCTGCATCAGGTGACGAACACAACCGCAGCCATCTTCCCTGCTCTGGCACCTGGTTCCCGAGATTGCGGTCTGATCACAGTTTGATTCGGTTCGCGACCAGAATCGTGGAACAAATTAAGTTTGTGAACCGAGGTACCACTGTGTATTCTCTATTTCCCCTGTAGTTCTGTATAGTGTGTATATGTGTGTGTATCTATATCTAATTGTGTGTATGGGTGCAACGCAATGGAGGGTCCGCTGACTTGCAGTTGTATCTTCTGATTTCCTTCCGATCCAATGCGTTTGTTTTCCAAAGGAAGGGCACCAAAAAACCGCTCTGTTACATTGTGTTGTGCTTTTAAAAAAAAAAGAAATGTGCATGTCCTATTTTTTTTTTTTTTTTTTCTTTCATCGTAACCTAGCGCAATGTAACGGAGCGGTGTGCACTAGCCCCGTTCATTTTTATCTGTTTTGCCTGAGGAAGGGACTTTGCCGTTCTGAAACGTCGCTCTGATGATGTCACACCTTTTTAGAAGTCAATAAACATTGACTTTTCTACATGCTGGAGTGCTTGTGACCTTTTTTTGTATTTTTGATGAAAGAATGTATCACGACACACCGGTTTCTGGTGTGACTGGGCCCTAAAGCTAGTTTGGTCTTTGTGTGTGTACCCCCAATTGTATACACTGGGGGGGTTGTTGTATATTTGATCCACACCACACTTTTGCTGTGTTTTGTTTGCTGGATCTCTTTCGCATGTATAAGGTCTGTGCAGTGAGATTGCTGGCTCATTTGGGTGCACCTCCATTGTATAGTTTGAGGGATTGTGGTTTTCGTTCAGGAAACTCCCATTCGTTTCACAATCCAATGTTGCATCAGAACTTTAAATGACATCGGTCAAGTCTCTGGCGTTATAGAACGTTCCGATGAGAGTTTTTGTGTATTTGAAAATCTACCGGTGTGTACACAGTACTATGGGTGTAGTGGGATATGTACTATCCTCCCGGCCTGGAGATCCCGCTATACCTCCATGTACTATCCTCCCGGCCTGGAGATCCTTCCTGTTTTTCCTGGTCGGGAGTATTATCTGTGTTACTCTCTCTGTGTAACGCAGTGATTTGTATAGAATGCTCCATGGCGGTGCTCTGCAGCTTTCATATTGCAGTTCCTCTTCTGCATGGAGTGATATGTCTGTACTCTGGGTGACCCCACATCTCTGAGCTGCTTCTACTCTGATACCACAGAGACATCTTAAACACAAGTTCTGTTTGCTGATTTTGGGTGGAGGATATTGATAAAGATGTTTTATTTTAAAAAATGCCCATTAGATGATGCTGGGCTTTCTATGTCTGTGCTCTGGTGACCCCACATTTCTGAGCTGCTTCTAATCACCATCACCGGCCACAGAATCAGGCAAACTTTTTTTTTTTTTTTCTTCCATTTGAGTGTTTAGTTTGTAGATAGTCTGGTCATAAGTTGGTTACATTGCAGCCGGTAGGATGTATAGTATATTTGCGTTTTCTAGGGAAAGGTGTCAAATTTGGGATGCGAGAAGTTTTCTTTTCCCTTTTTCCATGCTTCAGGTTTGTTTTCCTAACTGATGTCTCTGCACCCTCCCGATGTGCCTGTACTTTATCTCTTCCTCACCAGTTAGAGATGTGGGGGGGATGGTGGCTGAGACCTGATCCCATTAAACAATAAAGAGGGTCTTCCCAGGCAGGCTGGTGGGGGCACAAAGGCGTTTCGCTGGTTCCTCCTTTCTCTTGTCTCTCCAGTTTCTAGGGATTGATTAGTATTGAAGAGAATTCCCCTTGTGCAGGAAAAAAAAGAGAAGCATGTTCCATTGTCACGTTTCCTTTTCTCAGTGTGAGCAAAGTATTATTTAAATGTATTTCAAGTGAAAACTGCGAGCGAATAGGAGCCTGAGGGTGCCTTGCGTCAGGATCCATATTCAATGGGTAACCAGTGCTGACCTTTTGTGGAAGGGACGCCGTCCTCGGTACTGGCAGTCATTTCCCCAGCTCGGTCTTTGTAGTGTAGATTCAGGTACACGCGTTTCATTATTCCTCCCAAGTGCTGATCTTCTCTCCGTTCTGCAGAATAAAGCCAGAGTCCTTGTTAGCGCTGAAGCACGGTTTGTCCCTATAAACGCATGCCGTGTGCAGGATCCGTCCCCTTTCACAGGAGGACGTTCGTTTTCATCACATGGTGCTTTATTGTTGAATATTCACTTTAATTGTGAATATGTGCAGCTATATAGTGAATGTTTCACCTAGAACAGGTCATCTCAATCCTCTGATTGGGGGATGGGGGACTCAGGTGAGGAAACATCCATTCCGATCCCAGGTTTTTTTTTTTCCCAATAATGGTTGAAGCAGAAAATGAATCTTAGCCCTTGCAGTGGGGCTCCTCCTGCACCATAATGCCTCATTCACACGGGAATCGGACGGCACGTACAGCTGCGTGCACGGCCGTAGTGGGCAGCTCCCGGGAAGGACAGGTGCTGCGTGTGATTAGTACGCGGCCCCTGTCCTTCTCTATGGGAGTACGCGGTCATACGCCGCCCCACGCTCACCCCAAGTGCAGGTCCGTACGGGTGTCCCAGCTCAGACGCAGACAGGATCCATCCTGTCAGTGTGCGAGTACGGACACCAGCACGTGCAGGGCGGGTGAGCGTAGTGCGGCCGCGTACTCCCATAGAGAAGGACAGGGGCTGCGTACTAATCACACACAGCACCTGTCCTTCCAGGGAGCTGCCCGATACGGGCCAGCACGGAGGTGTGTGTGCCGGCCTTTTCTAGTGTGAATGAGGCCTTAGGGTTAAGTGCTGGTTTTGGTATAGGAAGGAAATTAGTTATACTCGCCTGATCCTTGGAGCCGGCTGGCTGTCACAGCGCTCCCTGCAGCCTGTCCCCTCTTCTGCAGCGATGGTATGTCCCTCAGAGTCGTCACGTCCTACACACTGTGTTTTGGATGTGATGACTCGTGGACCTTGGTCCTCTGCAGCGGAAGGGGGGAGAGGCTCCTGGGACTAGTCTAAGAGGCAGTCGCCTATGAGGAGTGGGCGAGTATGACTTATTTTCCTCCCTAGACCAGAACAAGCAAATTTCAAGTCATTTTCAGTGTTTTTAAATAAGCAGCATTTCATTATAATGATACTTGCTGATCCTGCCACGAAGGTTCTTGTTTAGGTACTTCCTGTTATAGGATGACAGCATTCTGTCCCCATCTCTCATTTGTGTTCCTGTGTTGTCACCATCAAGAGCCCTTCTAGCAGGGTGACAACAATGGACCATGCCTGCATAGTCTCCATCAGAAAAGCGTTGCCGCCATCCTTGGAGTACACGTAGACAGGAAGTGGCTGCCAAGGATCAGCAGCACTGAGGGGCAACAAGCAATTAAAAATTTATTGATTTAGGTATTTTATATTTTAAAAAATGGCAATTAATGATAAACAGAGACCCTGTTGCCAGATCATTTCATCAACCATCTTTCCATAAGATCATATGAACATTAAACATATTTTCTTCATGTTGTTTACCTGTAAAATTCCAGAAGCCCGTGGGACTGCTGCTGGGTGCCGCCATCTTGGATGTTATACCAACAGCCCCAGAAGGCTCAGAGCTGTCACTCTATAGTATTCCCCTTCACTGCTCTTTCAACAGCTACATGCAAGGTGTGAAGGGAGGGGCTGAGGAACTGGGCTAGTAATTAGACACTCCCAGCAGAGGAGTGAAGGGAGGGGCTGAAGAGCAAAGGGAGGGGCTGAGGAGCTGGGCTAGCACAGAGAGTAATTAAACACTCCCAGAAGAGGAGAGAGAACTATGACGTACAGGGAGTGAGGAAGCTGTGCTAGGAAATTGACTCCCCTGAAGAAGTCACATTTTCTAGCGTGTTCAAAGGCTGATTGCAGATGATTAAAAATACAATTTGTTGATGGAACAAAATTGCAAGTAACATCTGTGCTTTTACTTTCAATTTGAAGTTGGAGACAGGTTCTCTTTAAAGGCTAGGATTACCTTTCCGGCAATGTATCGTGGTGCACCCATATTTAGGGAGTAACCTGAAACATCGCATTGCAACCCCCTCCCATTAATCTGAACCGCAGGCTTCTCACTGCGGGCTTATTTAAAAATTAAAATTATTGGCTCCGCCCACACAGTCACATCATCCATGGTGTCATCGCCGAACGTTTGACGCCGTGGCAGAGGGACTAGTAGTTCTCCATGAAATACAAGTGTGGCGACATTACCGCACATGTAGTCCATTGACATTTCCTCTCATCCATGTGGGTAAATGTG